TCCAAATCACAATCTCTTTCTTCTCTTTTTCTGCTGAGTAGGTGTTAAAGCCATCTCTGCTGTCCTGTATCTTATGTAAAATGCACGGATATTCATAAAACCCGGGGCAAATTCAATTAGAAATAGAACTGTAGTACTGACAGGATCATTAAACGATCAGTCAAGTCCATCAGGTGATTAAGTCACGCCTCCGCCGAGAACACGGAGTGCTGACCCCTCGGACCCTGCCTAATAAATGGAGGGTTTTTGGAGTTATCTTGTCTGCCTGTATGTGATTTTGGGAGTTTCCAGCTTTAACCTTTCACTACCAATTAACACGAGACAGTATTAATGCCCTAAACATTTTTAATAAAACATTTTTTTATTTTAAATTTCTAATAATAATTGCTTTAAAATTCAGTCCTCTGCAGCTGAAGCGCAGGAATTATTTAATTAAATATTTCTATTTTCTTTATCTTATATATATATATATAGAGAGAGAGAGAGAGAGAGAGAAAGCTTATCTTGTAACTTATATAAAAAGAGAGGAATAAAATTTTTAAGTTTTAAAAATAATATTTATGGATTATGCACAAAATATAATGCGTATAGTGCATTTTAAAACAAACAGAATTTCTAATAAATTATCCAGATTGACACTGAAGAAATTGGTACTAAATTTATATATTATCTGTTTCTCTCAAAATGTGGGCATATTTTAAAATATACAATCTCGCATGCAGTCAGTATACAAGCATAGCAAATTTGTGTGTAAAATTTGTGACATTTCTTTAGTGTTATTCTATATTTTAAAGTATCAGCTATTTTTAAATATTTTAACTTTTTGTTTGTATAACAGTATTTTAGTCTTAATTATTATTATTTCATAAATACTAAGGTTTCTGGAAATGTAAAGAAATTTTAAAAATTATTTCAGCTTCTGTGCAGTTAGAGATGTTCATAATGTATATGAAAACCTTAGTTATCTAAAAATTGCTAACATACTTTACTTTCACAGTTCATAAGCAGAAATAAAAATTTCCAATAAAATCGAATTTATGTATCCTAAGGCTGCGTTCAGACGACGGCGTAAAGGGCATAGAGGCATAGTCATAGGGGCATAAAATATTGGAATTCCGTTCACATTTGCGAGAACGGGGTGTAAGTCGTGGCCAATGAGAGAAGTTAAATTTGTGCATGTGGGGATGTGTCTACAACTTTCCCGCACTGTTCTCCTGCGCGATTGATTTCCCATGTTTGCTCTGTTTTGTCACAGCGAAATCTTCTGTAGAACGGCGCTTCGTTTTAGCTTCGCTCTGATTGGTCGACGCTTATCCCAAACTTGGCGTAAAGTTGAAAACTTTGAACCCTGTGCCACGAGCCCTAAACCAGATTTTGTGACCTAGCACAGACTGGTTGCCTTGGCAATGGAGCTCGGCTTTAACCACTTATGCCCTTTACGGCCCCGTCTGAACGAAGCTTTAGGGTCCAAATCCCATAAGTTAAATACAGAGACATCTGGTGGCAATTGGCAATAAATGCGACTGACCATGAAACTTCCGTAACAGTAAATCCAGTGCAGTAGTATAAACGGTCGTCCATGTGCGTTTCTCCCAATGATGCTACATGTTTGCAACGCACTAATGGAAACAGGGCTTAAGTTTGACAACTAAACGCAATGACTGTTTGATCTGGGAACTATCAAAACTTCTCATTTGAAATAAAGCTTACATTATCTCAGAGAAAATAGGAAGTAGCAAAACTTATTAACATTGTTCTGGAATTATAAAAAGATTTTATTTCATTTGAGGAAAATTACTGTGTTTATTTCATATTTACTTTTTATCACTCAAGATTTTTATCTTAATGGCATCATTCATTCTATGCTGTATTTCTGATTTTAGTTATTTCAAATTATTTTACTTTGTAAACTGCTTAGATCAAGAACATAAAAAAATATTTAAAAGTAGTAGAAATGTTGTGTGCCTTTGTTAAACTAGTCAGGCAAATGGTGATTCTGCCTCCCTTCCCCCCAAAAAAGGAAGAAGAGAATTCCCCCCCTTTTTTTTAAATTATTCATTTACTTATTTATTTCTATCCTTGCTTTATAAGAGTTTGAAGAGTTTATTTATGACCTCTGAAAATTTCAAAAACATTATGATACATTTCTAGATGCTGGAATATTTACTGTTAAAACAATATATATGTATCCAAAAATTTTAAAAGTCAGCTTTTAAATTGAAATGCTGAGAAAAAACTGAACGAGAGTTACTCTGGAATTTTGAGATGTATGCAGAGGATAAATGGCAGGAAAAAAAAGTAATGGTTAGATTTTAAAATATGAACTATTTAACCTAGCAGTTCTTTACTGCACTCAGACATACTTCAACATATTAAAGAAGGAAGGGGAAGAGAATGGTAAAGAATAAAAATTATTATTTTGTTAAACTTTAGCTGTATATCATATTGTCCTAAATAAAAGATCATTTTATGTTTAAAACAAACATCACATATATGAACTTGATATCATATCATGAAAGTGATTGGTAAATAAAAAGTCTGAATTTTTTAGGTCATACCCAAGTAAATATATTTTCCTTAAAATTAAGGCATAAATAGAAATTAATATATTACTTAATGTTAGGCTTCACATGAAGGATTTACAAAATGCATTTTGAAGGGAAAATATTTCACTTTATATTTTTGTCAGTGCGGTAATGATATAAAACAAGTGAATGATTATTTTTATTTTTATTTAGTTATTTATTTATTTATTTATTTTTTTAATTTCAATTTTTTTAGTGAAGGTGATGACGGAGTTTACTACTACACAACAAAACTCCAGGTCAAGAACTTCTGGAAGTTTTGGATCCTAATGACTTGGAATATGACCTATATAGAACTATAGAAGACATGAAAGAAGAAATAGTTCGACAATGGACATAACTGAAAAATTAACAAATAGTGCAAAAGGAAATAAGAAATCCTATCTAGAAGTTGAAAATGGTAATGTAATTCTTTTTCTGTTAAAAAGGCAACAAAAAAATTTTTGTTTAGCTTTGACAATTTAGAAATTTTAATAAATATCATGAAATACCCCCTCTTCCCTTAGTCATATTTGTTAAAATAAACAAACATATAGGTTAAAAACACTTGTGTAAAAATTATATAAAGCCAGATAATTAAAAATATAAACTTCTGGACTGATTCAGGTCATGCATAGTCCCATGATAAGCACTACATTTTATTAAGTACCTTGCAGAATTAGATTTAGGAGCAACTTGTTTATATTATTTTGAGTAAAAGAGTAATGAAAAATTAATTCAATATCTAAAATACTGTATTCAACAAAAAATTTTCATAAAATTTTATATATATAAAATTTACAATATTATTTAAATATGTAATTAAAGAGGAATTACAAGAACTAATTTACAATATTATTTAAATATGTAATTAAAGAGGAATTTACAAAAACTAATTTACAATATCATTTAAATATGTAATTAAAGAGGAATGCTCCTGTTAAACTTCCTATATTTCAAAATAAAAGTAAATAAGCCAATACAGTAAAAGAATTACAGTTTGAAGTCAAAATAAACCCTAATTTACAAATTTGTAATTTTTAAGTAATATTAATTTTTTAAAATTAAGTTTTAGAGGGGGAGAAAGAGTATTAAATAGTAAAAGAAAAAAAGCAATGGCTAAAATGCACGAAAAAGTAATGAAAGTAATAAATTTATTTATATAATTTATCCATCTATATATCTAGATAAATCTCCTGGTTTACCAGGAGAATGTTTAATTCATGACTCATATGGTCCTTAAAAGTCCTTAGGTTTTTTCTGAAAACTATAGTAGGTCCTTAAAAATTCTTTATTTCAACCCATATTGGCAAAAGGTCTTTAATCTTACTCATCTGACATTTCTGTCTGTTTTTTATGACTGACGTTTTGATCTACATTTTCAAGGAATATTTTGATTGGTTATCATTTGAATTCTGTTCTACTTCTTAATATGCCTCGAGGGCCTTACCTAGACTGAAACATAACATTTTGAAGTTATTTCTTTTTTGAGAATGTTTATAAAATATTACTTTAAAAACATCCTTTCCCTTTCTGAGATATGATTTCTTTTTATTATGCAGTACTAAATTTGGCAATTTCAAGATCAATTTGTATACATAATTTTTTATCAGGATATTTGTAAATTTTTACGATGATTTTTTTGACACATATAATAAAATTGAAAAATACTGTTAAAATAATAATATATTAAATATAAGAAAATACCAATAAAATATAAGAAATATCATTAAAAAATATAAGAAATACCGTTAAAATAAAATATTTTTATTTTCCCATGTCATATGTTAAAATGACATTACTTTCCAATTTAATAACTTAGGAATATTTTGATTATGAAAAATAACTCTTTGTATATGTTGAATGTTTGCGTGGTTCATTTGTTTACTATCAGAACACAGCTTATTTCAGAGGAGTAGACAAATAAAACAGAATGAAAGTTCTTACCTTATTAATGGGTAATCCATCTTGCTATATCTAAGAAGCACAATTATTATTATTAGCACACAAAAAAATTATTTATTAGGTATGAGAAGGGAAAAAAGTAGCTAATGATGGTACAAGCATGTATCTGCTCTCCATGGCAGAAGAATGTATTGGGTCCAATTCCTGTTAGTCGTGGTGAGGGAAGGTAACACCAGTCAGGGTACAGCTTGATTGCTTTCATTTTCAGTTGCTCCACAATCCCCAACTTGATGAACTGTTCCATCTGGAGTAAGAGCAAATCCCTTAAACACAAATTCCAGCTGTTGTTTGGGAAAGGGAACATGTCTGCATACATCATTTTACTGTTGCAGTGCTTTAATTTAACAGCTCCTTGATTTTGTGATATTTTACTGCAATGTGTTTGGTATAATTACCCCCCTTTTCTTTTCTAGAGAGATTTATGCAGGATATATTGTCCTCGAATACAATGTTAGCTTCCTGTTGAGCGAAGCCTAAATTTTAAATCATCCACTGTAGCTCCAAAGTTAAAGCTAGAGCGATGTATTTGGCTTCCGTCAAATATAAGACGACACAGTTCTGTTTCTTGCTTGTCCATTAAACTGTACTGTTTCCTGTTCGAAATATATTTGCAGATGTGAATTTTCTGAAGCTTACAATGACACTGATTGGGAAGTATCCTCCTGCCTAATCAGTTTCGTTGTAAGCTCTGATAACTGGTGCACCATTAGATTTTAAATGTAATTAATTGTAGCTCTCAGATATCGTATGATTTTAATTATACTGTGCCAGTCCGATGTTGATGGGTTTTCTATTTTTCTGCTAAGTATTCCAACAGAATTTGCTACGTCAGGTCTTGATACTGTTGCTAAATGTGCTTTTTTCTGCTAATACACTGCCCTTCAAAAGTTAAGGAACAACATTTTTTTTTTTTTTTTTTTTTTTGGTGTGAGTCTGATTTGAAAATGAAGCAAGAAACAAACCAGAAATATAAAGGACACATTCGCTAAACAGTTTTTTAATGAATGCGACATATATTATTTCTTAAGTACAAACAACAAAAAATTGCATACTAACACAAACAACAAAAAATTGTACTAGCAGAGAAATCCAGTCTTGGAGAAACAGTGTATCACAGTTTTTTGAAGAAAAATGAGGTGGTAAAATTATAAAAATTGGTTCTTTTATCCTAGCTGAAATACATTGGCGGCAGCGACATTCCATGCTGTCAATTAAGTTGTTCAGTGAAATGGGAAGCAACGACCAGACATGTAGTTATCCTTGCTGAAGCTCATCTAACGACCTTGGAGGAGGACTTAAAGCAGCAACCTATCTCCCAAAGATGCTGTATGGGATTCAGGTCTGGAGATTGAGCTGGCCATTCCATTTACTCCATAACGTGACCCACGAGATATTCTTCAGCAAGCCGAGCTTGGTGCGGTCATGCATTGTCGTCCATGAGAAGAAATCCAGGGTGGACATATTAATCAAAGATCTCGTCTTGATATCTTGCACCGGTCAAACTTCCTCAATAGAATACGTGCAGGGCAGTGTGCCCACTGAGAGAGATCCCAGCCCAAACCATTATTCCACCACTTCTGTGTCTTTCCATAGTGTGGAATTAGTTGTATCTGGTGCATTGTTCCCTCCAGAATAACTCTCCAATGTGAACCTGGACTCGTCTGTGAAAAGAAAATACGTCCATTGTTGACTGGTCCAGGACACGTGTTCTCTTGCCCAACATAAATGGTGACCTCTGTGTCCTCGGGTCACAAACAACTGGTCGTCTTGTATACAGATCTGTATTGTGCACTGAGATTCTTGTTCCAGTTGCCACTAAATGATCTGCCATGAGCTGAGGCTCAGTAATGTTACTCCTCCTTCGGGCCGAAAGAGCTAAATAACACAAACAACAGATGTTGTAACTCTAGGTCGGGTCCGTGACACTAAGCCGACAACCACTTAACCGACAGGACGCTTAGCCGACACGGATAGTTAGCCGACAGGTCATTTAACTGACATGGACAGTTAGCCGATGAGGACACTTGGCCAACACAAAGAGTTACCATCAGGTCACAAAGCCGACAGTGACGTTTAGCTGGCACGTACCAATAATTATTCAAACTTCCTATCAATTACAAAATTTCTCGACTTTTCCATAAGTTCAGTATTTAAGTTATTTTTTTCACTATCAGTAAAATTCATTTTTTGATTCTTAAAGATCTCCTATGTTCTTTTAATTATTGTGTTAATTTAGCATTGTTTGATATTTATTGTGCCGTTTGGTGTATATTGGCCAAATTGGAAAAGCGCTGAAATTTCTCGTCAGGAAATATGAATTAAATTTCGAAAGAAAAAACGAATTTTTTTAACTAAGTACAGAGGTCACTTAATTACATTTAATGTGATGTTCAAAAATTATCTGTAAAGCTTCTTCATTTAACCAACTGGGTTCTTTTGAGCACCTTCACATCATTAATGATTTTTCTTATTTACTTAATGACATTAATTTTCCAATCGCGCTCCTCCAAATGCTTTCAAATTTCTAATACCTTTACGTTTCATTACTATTTTACTCATCACATCATGTTGCATTCTTTTCCTTACAAAAGCGTTTGGCTTTTCCCACTAATGAAATTTCCTTTCCCTGTTATGAAAATCAGAGTACTGCAATAAAATTATTGTTATTCTTGAGTTATACTTTTTTATAGAAACATATGGTAGTAAGGGTAAGTTTAGCAAATATATTTTATTTTGTTATTATAAACGATTAAAAAAAAGTGAATTTTTAAGACAAGCAAAGGTATAAATTTTTTGTGACCTCTATTAATTTGCTGTTCATGCCACCATTCTTGAGATAGAAATTCTGTAACATTTTATTGATCATGCCTTTCGCTTAAAATACTTACTTAGGTTAATGTTTACAGCACTAAATTAGTACATAATGTTTAATTTAGAAGTAAAATATTCTTTAAGGTTTGGTTTTATTCATAATTGAAGCTGCAGCAGGGGGCCACAAACCAAGTACTCACATCACCAAACCGTCACATCCTGAAAAGTCACCGTAATGTGGTGCCATCTATCGAAGCTGGATTTAACGAGATCAGTTATATAAATACATAATTTTATGTACTATGTTTTGAAAGTTGTGATGTGTAATTTTCAATATAATCTCTTATTAATGTTGTTCTTATAAAATATAACTTTTCTAATATCTGTTAAAAATGTATAAATTTTCATTAATTTTATTTTTTTCCCTCTCTTTCTCATTTTCGGTTTAGCTTCATGATAATGAGAAAATTTTTGGTGCCCATTTTTCTGAATGCATTTATAAAGTTGTAGTCTAAAAAGGCAATTTTCATTGGAACAGACTCGTTATATATTAAGTAAAACAGTCACCCTATTTCTGTTAGGCTCAGCAGAGGCTGAGCTTTAAAGTCATGAACCCTGGCAGTTTGGTCCGAATTTTGAATCCCGCGAACAGATAGGCTGCATGGGTGTTTTTGTGGTTTTCCCCATGTGTAACATGTATACGAGCCAGTTTTCATTAGAAGTCCTCCACGATGGCATCCCTCCCTTTGACCAGATAGTCCTTTGGTTTTGCCATAATTACATAAACCAAACTTACTTCTGTTAGGTGGCCGCAGTCTTGGTCTGTGGCCCTCTCCTTCTGCAGCTTCAGGTATGAATAAAGCAAAACCTTAAAGAATATTTTACTTCTAAATTAAACATTATGCACCAATTTAGTGCTGTAAACATTAACCTAAGTATGTATTTTAAGCGAGAAGCGTGGTCAATAAAATGTTACAGAATTTCTATCTCAAGAATGGTGGTATGAACAGCAAATCATAGAGGTCACAAAAAATTTATACCTGCTTGTCTTAAAAATCACTTTTTTAAAATTGTTTTTATAAAAGAAATTAAAATATATTTGCTAAACTAACCCTTACCACCATAGGTTTCTATAAAAAGTATAATTCAAGAATAACAATAATTTTTATTGCATTATTAAGATTTTTTATGACAGAGAAAGGAAATTTTAATAGTGAAGAAGCCAAACACTTTTGTAAGGGAAAGATGTAACATGAGGTGATGAGTAAAATAGTAATGAAACATAAAGGTATTAGAAATTTGAAAGCATTTGGAGGAGCGAGATTGGAAAATTAATATCATTAAGTAAACAAAAAAAATTATTAATGAGAACCCAGTTAATTAAATAAAGAAGCTTTACAGATAATTTTTGAAGACCATATTAAAATGTAATTAAGTGACCTCCGTACTTAGCTAAAAAAAATTCTTTTTTTCCTTTCGAAATTTAATTCATATTTCCCGATGAGAAATTTCAGCGCTTTTTTAATTTGGCCAATATACACTAAACAGCACGATAAATATCAAACAATGCTAAATTAACATAATAATTAAAAGAACATACGAGATCTTTAAGGATCCAAAAATGAATTTTACTGATAGTGAAAAAATAACTTAAATATTGAACTTATGGAGAAGTCGAGAAATTTTGCAATTGATTAGTAAGTTTGAATAATTATTGGATACGTGCCAGCTAAATGTCACTGTCGGCTTAGTGTCCTGTTGACTAAATGCGTTGACAGTTAAGTGTCCCATAGCCAAATGTTCCGACCGCTAACTCTCTGTGTCGGCCAAATTTTCTATCTGTTAAATGTCCGGTCGGCTAAGCGTCCCTGTCGGTTAAGTGTCTGCGACCCCTCTAGGTCTGCCGAGAACATGGTTTTTGTATACATAATCCTTGGATTCAAACTGATTCCATTGTCGATGGACCACACTACAAGAGACATTGAGACGTCTAACAGCATCAGCTTGTGACATCCCCATTTCTGTCCATCCGATCGCTCACCACCTCAACGAATCGGGCAAACGACTTCTCGTGGACATTGATAGACTCACCTGAACTGAAATTGTAATAACAACTTAAGAGCAATACTCGTGAACAAAAATTACAATTTTTCTCCGAGTCGTATGTAAGTAAGATACAATAACACGTCAAAAATTTGAAAATATAATGCTGATTTTTGTTGTTTGACTTCTAAATTAATTCTAAATAAGTATTCATTTCTATAAAATAAAATTTGTAGATATTGTTTTTGCATATATTTTCTTAAAACTTCGTTACTATCATGCCTAAATGTTACTGACATTTTTGTAATGGTGAGCTTTGAAAAACATGCTGTTCCATAATTTTTGGAGGGCAGTGTATCTTCTTCAAATTGAACTGTAAACCCTTTGTAATTTTTCGTACAGATATAAATCCTCCTTCTAGGTTAAAAACGTATAAAATGTCTACGAGTCTTATTTCTCTATTTTGTTATCTTCGTCGTCTGTACAGTATAAATATCCTTGGGACTTCATCTGAGTACCATTAGAAATTATTTGCTCAATTTTGCTTCTGTCTTATTTTGTGAAAAAGTTTATATTATGGGCCATATCACAAGTGGCTCTTAAATCAACTGACCAGTTTGAGTTTTCAAAATTTTATTTTCTCTGGTGACTTCAAATGTGTAATCCTCAGTCTTCTCAAGTTTCTTATTTTTGTTTTCATCTTCCTGTGTATCCTCGTTTAGAGCAACTTTCGTTTTTGTTTATTTCCAAAATTTCCTTTATTAACTTGCTTTTCATTTTTAAAAAATGAGTTATTTTCGTTTTCATCTTTTTCTTTGTGGTTATTTAAGAATCTGCATTTTTTTTTTCTAAGTGTCCTAACTTTTTGGAATAATTGCATCTTCGTTGATTAAAATGCTTGAATTTTGTGTTAAAATTAATTTCGAAAGCAGTTGTTTCCTCTGTTTGCGTGCCTCCTTTTTTCTTCTTAAGGATTCGTCAGTTTTGTTTTTATGTATTCCAACGTTAGTTCTTCTTCAGGGCGTGCTTCTGGAGCTGTGGTAAGATTTTCGTAGTTTTTAGTAAGCCATCTAGTAAGAGTGCTGCAATGTGTCTGTCCTGTATTTATTCACCAATTCCTCCTATTTCATCTACCTCTTTGACTACCTACCCAGCTTGTATCCGTTTTCTGCTTTGAAGTATATAGTCTTCTGAGAAGGTAAAGTTTACTAGAAAGATTTTTTCTTTCATGAATTTTCTTTAATTCATTCCATATTTTTTTAGCTGTTGTTCTGTCAGTAAACTTAATGGTAACTTGCTTGCTCATCTGGTTTTATCAGCATTGATTTCTTTAGGTGGGATCATTTGCCATTAAATCATATAAATTTTATTTTTTCAGAAGGAACTCAAGTTTCTGTTTCCATAATTGATAGTTGTTGTTGTTTAGTTTCATAATTGAATTTTTTTTTTTTTTTTTTTTTTAAGCTAGTAGCCATTTCTACATCTGTTTGTTAGTTTTGTTTCGCTCCTTGAAGACAGGCTTAGCTTTTCTTTTTGGGATTATTCAGTGGTAATTTACAGCCTAGTATCTTTTCTGTTTATGTTTTTATCCTTAAAAGCTTATCTTGATATGTTTCATGGGTTTGGTTGAAGTAAACATGCAGTCAGTCTTATAATCAAATGTTGGAAGGTTTGTGGGCCTCATTTATTTACTAATTGAAGGCAGCTTATTGGAGACCAGCCGATAAATAAAACAGAATGAAAATTCTTACCTTATTAATGGCCAATCCATTTTGCTGTATGTAGGGTAATAAGCAGGCAGAAAGCATAGTTATTGAGTATGAGAAGGAGAAAAAAAATATCTTAAGTACAAGCGTTTATCTGCTCCCCATTGCAGAGTACTTAAAGGAGTTATTCAACAAGAGATGTTTCTTCCCCCCCTTTTTTTGGATTGGGTCCAATTCCCGCTGTAGTGGAGGTGAGGGAAGGTAAGGTGGGAGGGTACAGTTTAATCCTTTTCGTTTTCAATTGCTCTACAGTGTGAACAAGTGTTACATTAGTTTTGGGAATTTTTTGAAGGAAAAGAGATTAAAATATAACTTATAAAAATGAATATCTGTTAACAAATCTTATTAAAATAGGTGTTATTTAATAGTTTCTGTAGCTTTTTAAAAAATATGAGAAATTTATTCATTTTTATTATCTATAAAATTTTCTTATATTTCTTATATATTTACTTTTTTTTTAATGAATATTTAGCTGCTTTAGCTAAAATACAAAGTGAAAGAGCCATTCAGAAGGCCAAAGAAGCAGAAGAAAGGTTACGAGAAGCTGAAAGAGAAGCAGCAATGCTGGGCAATGTAAATTTTTATAGTATTAATTAACTGTTTTTAGCATTTTCTAGTATTACTAAAAAAATAATAATTAAAAAAAAACACAGAAGGGTTGTTTTACGTAGTTTAATCGGAAGGTAACAGGTAAAATTAAATTCCATTAGTAGTGGGTAGGCCAATATTTAATCATCAAACCTGATTATTTACTGATATATCATTACTCATTCCGGGAAGAGTAGGTAGCATCAGCTGGTGAGCAGAGTTTTTGCACCATCTGAAAGTTTGTAATGAGAGTGGTTGTATTTGCTTTTGTATATTAGATAGCAGCAGCTCTTTAAAATAATGAAAGATTCAGCTCTTTAAAATAATAAGACAATAAATAAATAGAAGATAAAATAATAAGACAATAATAATGAAAGACAAGACCTTTATAAAACAAATTTAAATTGAAATGCAGCAACTTTAGTAATGGAATGCTAATATTGGTTGAAATACTTTGTACAGCATAAGTGCCCAGATTTTGATACTAAATGTGATGTGAACTACTACCTTTCCAGAGTTCAGATATATGCTAGTACTATTCATTTTATATTTAACAGCTTGAAAAATAGTTTAATGTTTATAGACATCAACATCTTTTAAAGTTGAAAATTTTAAAATTATTTAAGATAAATAAATACTATTGTAAATTATTTGTAATGGAAGAAACTTTTTGTATATCAACATTATTATAAATCTGTATTTCTGTTTTTCTTTTATTTCTTATTTTAAAATTAATCCAGAGTTCATTTTGAATTGTTTTTTAGTAACTTTGTTGAAGTGTGATAAAAAAGGAGTCTTTGTTAATCTAATAATGGAGCTGATTAAATAAAAATCAAATAAATTTTGTGGCATCATTTATGTTTGATTATTTTGAAACCTATGTTAGCAATACTATTTTAGCTACAAAAAAAATTTTAATTTTAATTTTTCGGATTTTGTTCGTTTTCTTAACAGAATCAATAGTCTTGTAGAATTTTCTTTGGGAATATTTATGAATACCACAGATTTTACATAACCTAGTTTAAATTCTAATTAAGTTTTAAGGTATGGTATTTGCATTTTTGAAGCATCTTTTTATTTATCTTTTCCATAAAAATAAATTCTGTAATCTAATAGCTAGTTTTTTTTGAAAGAAGGTTTTAAAACTTGTTTCCATGTCAAAAACTTCTTTTGGATGACTTCCTAACAGTAGTAATGTAATAAATGCTTCAAATAATTTGGTAAATATTATAATATTTCGTATTTACTGTAAACGGTAAATCAAGTCCATTGTAAAAAGCAATGCTTTTCTCATCAGCATTTTATAAATAACATCAAAAATATAAATAACAAAATATATCAAAAATATATAATATATAAAAAAATATATAATGCATCTAAAATATAAGCACAGTAAAGTACACAGTAAAGTTTGTATTGCTTGCAAAGTTATTTTATCTAAACTTCTTGAGGCCCACCAGCGGCCGAGCGGTAAATATGCTGAATGCTGGTAGTTTGGTCTGAGGTTCGAATCCCGCGAATGGGCTGGCTGCATGGGCGTTTTCGTGGTTTTACCCATGTGTAACGTGTATACGAGCCAGTTTCCCTTAGAAAGTCCTCCACGAAGGCATTCCTCCCTTTAGGCAGATAGCCCTCATGTGCTTTGCCGTAATTGAATAATCCAATCTTCTTGGGAACATTTTGCTGCAGATGTTGAGTGTGATAAATAAAAATGTATTCTAATAAACTATATAATTATTGATTGCAAGTTTTTTCTATATGCTGTTGTCTTCGTTCAAAATAAAATTGAATGATAATGAAACCTTTTATTTATATAAAAATATGAATCTTGGGTTATTTCAATAAACAATAAGCTAAAGTAGGAAGACGTGTTTTAGAAACAGTACCAAAGTTTATTGGTAATTTATTTTGAAAACAAGAACCTGTTGGAAGAGATGAGAATATTTAATTTAGAGAAACTACTTGGCTAGAATGCTGAGTTCAGATCTATTCAAATGAATTTTTGTTTGTATTCATGCTCCTTCAATTTAATTCATATAAGTAAGAATCATAGTATGAATAATGTCACAGTGTGTTGTTGATGCATATATCTTTCTATAGGAAATTATGTGGCATGCAATGCTTTAACATGAAAAATGGAATTATAGTTTCTTAAAATGCTTTAATTTTTTAATGTGATTATATAATTATGAAAAGAAATTGGTCAAAAGTATTTGATAGTATATTTTCTGTTTTATATTTTGAAAGTTAATTCCCTCTTACTTTCAGGTATCTTCTGATTCTGGAAATCCTTTGGATGGTAGCTTATGGTCAAACACAAGTTCTATAAACATGAATCAAGTGGATGATAGACCAGATGCTCCAGGTGAGACCCAAAATGTTTGCTCTGCATCAGTTGCAAGCACTACCTCTTCTACATCTTCTACTCAATCTGTCACTATTGGTAAAGAAATTGTTTTTGGAATTAGTTTATTCTAAAAATGTGACCCTTCTGAATTGCATGAAATACTTCTGTCGCGTTAAAAAAATATATATATATCTTACTTTATTAAGAAACATTCTTCTGCCCATTTCCTAATGAAGTAATTTTGCTTTTTAACATTATGTGAAAAGGGGCAAATGTAATAAAAAAAAGTTTACCCTTTTTCACATAATATTAAAAATATAAATTTGTGCAATATATACTTGTAGGAATTCTTCATGCAGTTCAAATACATATCTGCATCATGAATTAATGTAAAAAATGTCATTAATTTTAACCCATAATTTCTGATAGTTAACTTTTTGACAATTAAAGTCTGTAAGGATTAAAATTGGTCAGTAAGTTTATGATGTAATTATTACCTCTTTATCTTTTAGTATATTGTGGTTTATACAGATTGAAATCTGGAAACAATACCATGTGTCAGATTTTAATCCTAAAAGTTTAGTAAGTAATAAGTACCAAAGTTTGAAATTTCTTTAAAAAAGTACATCATGTACTATCAGTATCTATAGTTTACAGTGGGATTTCGAAAACGGGAACGAGAAAAAAAGTGAAATACATACTAAGTGACAGTGAGTTGACAATGTAAAATGCAGTATTTCAAATGTATGTAATTGCTGTTCTAAAAGCAGTTAATACTAAGCACTTTTATTCTTTTTTCAAACTGGTATAACTAAACATGGGAAAATGGTTACTGTAGAATCTTGCATGTGTAGCAGATACCCTCATTCCTTTATTTTTTGCATACAGCAAATATCCCATATTTATTTATTTTTTGCATATGTCCTAATTGAGGCTGTGAATTCTGCATTGACAGGGGTTCATGACTGTCAGTGATAAATAAATATTCTACTCATTTCTCTTTGACTTTCTACAAGTCAGTTTGTAGCCAAGTGGGTAAAACTATTAAATATTGGCAGTTTGATCCAAGTTCAGATCCCAATAAAGGAGCTATCTTTGTGTATATTTGTGATTTCCCCCAACGTTTAATGTGAATACAATTGTAAAATTCTCCAAAAGGGCATTTCTTTTATCAAACCTTTGTGTGTTTAATCAAATAACATAATATAAACTGTTCTTCTTTGTCAAATTTGTGACTACTCTGTTTCTAGTAGTCTGCATATTTTTATTAATATCATGCTAGTTTTATTATCCCCCCCCAGAACACACACAAATGAAACTAAGAATGATTCTTTTTTTTTTAATCAAAATCGTATGTAAATAGCAAATTTTCGTGTTTTCAAGTTTTACCATAATAAATTCTCAGCACAGCTAACGTGCATTATACATCTAGACTGGAATTTTCTTTAAAAACACTCCTGGGAAAGTCAGGGAATTTCATTCTCCTGTTTGAGTGGCAACCCTATGTGTGTGTGTGCGTGCATGCTTGTGTGTTTGTTTTGGACATTTCCCCTCTCTGCTCTACAAATAAGAATTACTTGTACAGTACAAAGTCTGTAATCCGAACGTCCATTATCCGGAATAATCTATCCAGACTTCAAAGCTACAAACTTTTTTTTTTTGGTATGCATTTACGCATGCGCATGCACGTTAGGAGAATGTGTCTCCAGATATGTTAAAAAATGCTTGGCATAATTTATGGCCATCTGCCATATTTCATTGTGAGGACGATGAAGATGAAGGCAGTGAATTTGAAGGCTTTCAGACATCGCAAACTAAAGATGAAATTTTCCAGTTATTGGATTTTGTAAAGAAATGTAAAGAAGCGGTAATAAATGAAGATGATATAACAGAAGTTTTTCATTGCGACGATAATGCCCCAATCAATTAACGGACGGCGGAATCTGTAGTATGGTTCTAGATCCAGAAAATACCGCTTCCGATAGGTGGAACTTTGTAACTGAACAAGAAAATATGTCTGTTTATAGAATTGAAAAGAAAGTATTAGCACAAAAAACGAAGCAACTTAAACAACTTACATTGAAAGAAATGTTTAATAAAGTAAACAAATAAATATTACGCCCTTTTTTTTTTTTTGGTTATTTTTGATACCCTTTATATCATAAATCCTATGGTTTCAATAAATATGGTTTCATATTTTAATTGTATAAATCATCTTATAAGCCATCTTACAAGATTTAAATTGATGATCTATAATACGGAATCGCCGAAGTCCCGATGAGTCCAGATTACGGACTTTGTACTGTAATTATTTTCTCTGGACTGTCGTTATCAGTTGTCCATATCAAATGACATTACATAACTATAGTGACATAAATGAAACTAAAAGCATGATTTGTGTACTAAATTATTTGGCTGCAAAATGTTTAACTAAAATCAAAGAAATATTAGTTAAATTTGCTATGATTGCTTTTTACTAGATCTGTTAATTCTCCAGGGTACTCTCCTATTATCAGAACTGGATTTAAAAATGTATGTTCGTATGTTGTCTGTATTCACATACATATGTACATGCATACATACATTTCTGAATTCAGTCCCAATAACATAAGAGTACCATTTGTGGTTATGCTTCATGATTCAATGTCTCATGTGTGTGTCATTTCCCAAATAATCGTATACATATACACATTATTTGCACAGAAAGTATCTGAAGAAAACAATGTATTTAAATAGTAAATTTTACTTGCGATAAAAGTGTTTTATTCTGTCACATTCGCTTATAGAAAAGTGATAATAGGAAATTGATCAAATGAAGATAGACGAGGGCAGTTTATGAGAGGTGTTGAAAAATTCTGCTGTCCTAACTATGGGACGTTTTACAGTTGTGTCAGTTATTGTTGAAAGCAAAAATCACCAGCTCTAAAAAAGAATTTTTTTTTTTTTTTGGTGTGTGTGTTTGTGTGTATATCTCTTTATTTTATTAAGCAGTAATCAAATTTTGTTTAACATTATTTTTAGTCCAAAGGGGCTTTGTCCCTGAAGGACTGTTGTTTCCGTTTTGCGATTTTATGTTGAAAACTTTAAAATGCTCTATCACTTTTCAAATTGTTGCCACCAAATACTATCACCCTGTATTATATTTGAAGAAATTAAATGATGAAGAATCTGTATAAATGTATGTATGTTTCTCGCATTGTGATAAAACAACGGTACCTAGAGCCATCCAGTTTTGAATGAGATAATACTACTGTGAATATGAACATCTGAAAGCCCAAATTTTAAATTTGTTTCATTATCAATTTCTAATGAATTTTTGATTAAAAACTCAATGATTTAAAAGTGAGCAATGGCAACACTACGTAGGGAGAGACCTTTTTATCTCCAGCTCGTGGAACTGTGTATCGGAAATGCTAAAGATATGCTTTAGCATTTCTAAAATAAGATAGCTAAAGATATGCTTATTTAAAAATTATATTGCTGTTGAACTGAATTATGGTTTAAGTGCAAAGACCATGATATTTAATAAATAAATGTAACACACAAGGCATTACAAAAATGCCCCTTTAGATGTAATTTAAAATCTGAAACATGAAAATTTTTTTTTCCTTTTTTAGTTACAGTACTCGGGTTTGTTTAAATTAGCCGTACTTTTTTAATTTGAATTGTACCTAGCACATTTTTTTCTGCAGAAGCGTCTGGCCACTGGGAAAAGAATTTTTGACTTTTTCGATATTTTGATTATTGAATTTATATCAAAATTTAATTTGACTTGTAATTCCATATTTGCTATAGCTGTAGAATTGTATTAATGTAGTCATTTATGTATTTTATCAAAATGCCGACACCTTGATATAATAATTTTAGTGGCATCTTTCGCATTATAGTTTGTTAATTTTTTGTGTACCTTAAGAATTCAGTGTTTTATTTTATTTATTTTATTTATTTTTTTATTTTCTATAGTGAAAATAGATAGTACTGATAACAAGGTAGAGAGCTGTCCACCTGATTCCAAGCCTGATACCGATACCAAACCTGAAAATATTCAAGACCTGGAAAATAATAATGAAGTGAAAATTAAGCAAGAAACTGACAGCATGGATGTTAATTCTGAAGTTGTTAGTGATGAAAATAGTAAATCAAATGAAGCAGTAGGAAGTATTGATGGAGGTGAAGGGAATAGCGATTTAAATGAAGAATCAAGCAATGAAGGTAATGAAGCAGCTAACAATGATAACTCCAAAAAGGAAACATCCGAAAATGAAAAGCTAGACGAAACAGATTCCAAGAAAGGTGTAAATTTAAAGATATTTGCCAAAGGAGGAAAAGGGAATTTTATCAGGCTTGAAAAAAAGGAAGATGATGATAGTAAGTTATTGATTATTATTCTTATTTAATCATTTTAAGTTTTCCTTTTGTAAAGCAAAAAGAAATTAATTTTTTTTTCAAAATCATGCCTTCTGTAAAGTTGTTTTTTTCTTTATTTTGTGTTAATTTTGCTAAATGCTAAATGTTCTATAGTATTTAAACTAATATTTCTTGCATATATAGAAAAATGTAAGTAGACATAGATTTTACACTTTACTTGTACTGTAAATCAATAAGAAATTGTCTTCGAGTTTCATTTTTTAAATTTTAATATAAATATGCCCAGAGTGCTGAAGTTATTGACCTTCAAAGATAGAAAGCACTCAATTTTCAACATTTTATTCTAAAGTGTATCTTTTAAATTTACAATGCTACATTAAGTTGATTTTCATGAGTATACTTGAAGATGATCTATATATCTAATTGAATCTTCTGTTATTTACTAATTCAGAAGTCAAACAACAAAAAAATTAGTACTTATTCGGCATGTTATTGTGTCTTCTGTTATTTGTTTCATCCGTTTGAAAAATTGCATAAAGCAATTTGTAATACAGTCAAAAGTCGTTAATCCGGACCTCAAAGCTACAAAATTTCTGCGCATGCGTCAATGCATAATGTGTTCGTGCAAGTGCATAAGCGTTTATGCATGTGCATAATACTTTTACGCATGTGTATAATACGTTTACGCATGCGCGTTTAATGTATAACAGACGGTATAAGCTAAAATTATCTAATTATCTATTTCAGTTAATGCTGCAGATTACGTTGTTCCTTAATCTTCGAATAGGATCGAGCTTATTATTTTTTGTAGACTGTTAGAGCAATTTTATAAAAGTAAGCTTGAACTTTCGATTATGTCAAATAGAATTTTTGATGCAGGAGCTCCCAAAGGATCTACAAAGCGAAAGTATATTTCAATGTCCATCACACAAAAAGTGGAAATGCTGCAAAAAATGGATAAAGGCATATCCTTTGTTTCTCTAACCATTCCGAAATCTGTTTATCAATTTCACGCTGCTCTGCGGGGGGGGGGGGGTGAGCTTTGCGGTGTGCAATGAACTGGAAGTTGGTCTATCAGCACTATCCTTATCTTCAGGGCAGATGTTTTTATTTTATTCAGCTTATAATTCCTCACTAAATGTAGTATTTCATCTCGATGTTTTCCGTCTTTGATATGATTTAAATCAATTTCCTCGTCATTATAAATATCACGAGTACACACCAAATAGTTTTCTGGTTGCAATTTTCTAATTTCGACTATGTGTAATGTTTGCTTCACGCATGCGCGCGTTGAAAGAAATGTTTAGTAAAGTAAACAAATAAATATTAAGCTTTTTTTTGTAAATTTTGATACCCTTTAGATCATAATTGCTCTTTATTTCATAAATTACGGTTTTCATATTTTTAATTTTATAATTTCTGCATGCCATCTTACCAGATTTAAACTGATGATCTATAATCCGGAAAAAGCGATAATCCGGAATCGCCAAAGTCCCGACGAGTCCTGATTAAAGACTTTTGACTATATATTGTAACCAAGCGGAATGTTTAAATTTTTTATCCATCTGAAAATTGTATAAAGCAATTTGTAATGTACTCTTGCGTTTTTCCTCTGACACAGTTATTTACATTATTTTCTTCCTTCACGTTCGTACGAGGATTCGTGAGAATTTGGAGTGAATAATGACGACAGCATTTGATGGAAGTATCGAACACATACTTTATTGGCCTGTATTAATCAGGACAGGCTCCAAAGTCACGTTTTACAGTCGTCGAATGATCTCTATAAACATCGCTGGAACAATCAGCGACTCAGCCTTCCAGATTATTCAGGCTATAACGGTGGAGACAGTTTCCACTGCAAAGCACCAGATTACAGTTCCTGACTCTGCTTCGGTCGTTCTCGTAACTCCACGTACTCTCGAGACTCAGAATGCGTGGGTTTCACGTGGAATCCGCGCTACAACTCGCGATGCACTTGACGACACACAGAGCACAGCTCCTGACTATTCGGTTCAGTCGTTGCCGGAGCTCAAGACGCTCTCTCGACAATGCACTAACCGCGATACACTAAGAGACTCCTTCGGTGAACTCAACGACCACTCGGAACTTGCTGCCCAGCTATCAACTCGATCGACTCCATGGGGATTGATTTGCTAGATGAGACATCAACTCGATACTAACTAACTGACTCTGTGCCAGCAGGGTTTATATAGCTTTCGTCTTATGTTCGAGAACATTCTGGGCTAAACCGATAAGAATTCATTCCAGAAGGTTCTCAATCCGTCCATGGCACATCGCCAATTTTGTTGCCAAATGTGGCAACCGTGCCTTTCTTGCCATTTTATGGCAACCCTAAACCTGCTTTGCGGGGAAGCTATCTTACCATGCTTGGACATTTCGTAACAGTATTGTAACCAAGCATAATATTTTATTATAAATATGAAGGAATCTTACAGGAAATAGGAACTGTCGATTAGATTTGCAAGAAGCTAGTAAAGTGATTCTGATTTCTACTAATGCAGTTCTAAAAAATTCAGTGATTATTTTCACTTAATGTCTAAAGTAAATTGAATTTTTATATGAGCTTATATGCTACTTAATATATTGAAAATGTATTAATTTTTTTTTATTCTTTAATGTAGCTGACAGTCAAAAAGGTGGTATTGTAACACGATCAAAGACTGGAGCTCTCACACCAAGAAATTTCTCATTCGAGAATTTTGTGAAAACCACTACTCGGAAGAATGGAGAAGAATCGATAATAATTGTCAGCAAAGACGGAGAAATAACACGTATGACTACCCGATCAAAGAGTAATGCATCTAATTCATCCACACCAACATTGTTCAAGTTGGGAATGGAAAGTAGTGGCAAGAATTACATGAACCAGTTCGCTATTAATACATTAGCCTTAAACAAACATCAGCATGCAGAAGATAGAGACAAAAGAAGGCACCTTTCACATAAATTTAGTCTAACACCTGCTAGTGAATTCAAATGGCAAGGAACAACGCATGGGGATCGTGGGTTTACTGTAGCTACTCTTCGACAAGCTGTACTGCAACTTGAGAATAACATTCCAGCATATTTACTTCATGCATATTGGACTATTCACCGTAGTAATTGGCTAAAAGCTGTTAATAAATGTACATTTCCAAAAGAATTTGCTTTAGCACTGAGTATTTTGGAAGCAGTCATGAAACCTGTCCTGTTTACATCTGTGTGGAATGATTCATTAGGTAAGCATCATTAAAAGTTAAATGTCATTAATTTTTAACAAAATAATGTCTATTTAGATTGATAAAAGTTCAAATATCTAGAATTCTGGTGTATTATTAACTCAAATGAATTAGATGAACTAATCTATGACCAATATTTTTTGTGTATTTAAATACAGTCAGCTCCTGATTAACTGCCCTGTATTTAAAAAAGGTAAAAAAAAAAAAAAAAAGAAAAAGAAACTTTTATTTTCCTTATTGCAGAGTTGTGGGAAACATCAACCACCATTTATGTAACCAATTATTTTTGAAGACAAAATAATGTCTTCACAAGTGAACTTAACCCATTCACAAGGACATTTCTGTTACCAAAGTGTTGTCTTGGGACAGCACGTTAACCGGATGCGTCGTCTTGTGGACGATGCGCAATTTCGCGCTGCTAAGCCTAACTTCTGGAAAAAAATTTGTATAAATTAAATTTTTCATCCAAGTTGTTCCAATTTTTGGTACATTATGAGAAGAATATTCAGGTAATTGTCAGAATTAATTTTAAAGAATTTATTATTATATATTTTTTTAAAAATTTTATAAAATACTCATTCTAGAATAATATAATTTCCCCCTTATCCCACAAATAATATGGAAAAATATCCCAACAATCACAGATTTTATTTAGCACAACACAAAATTAAAATTAAAAAATTTAAAACTGCCTTTCATAAAAATTCAACGAGCACAATGAAAGTAAGCAAAATTCAAAAATGAGCCGATAGTCTTTGAAACATGGGTGTATGCAAGTCCAACGTCGCATATGTCAGGAATATAATATCTGCTGCTATTTAACTCAGCAAATTTGACTCATTTAGCATTTCTATATGTTCTATGGTCAGATAATGCTTTCGTTTTGCCATTTAGGGAAAAAAAAAAGAGCTTTGGCTAAGGGATCCAAAATATTGTCTCAATGTGGGAAAACTCAAAGAGTAACAAAAAAGTCTCTAATGATAGAACATCTACTCCACTAAAAAGATATAAAATAAATTAAAAAAATAAGAAGAAAAATTAATATATAAATTAAAAGTATTTCAGAGCATAGTAAGAGCCAATACATTACTCAACACTAACAAATGAGCATTTGTGTATGTTGTAGGTTTACATACTGCTTTCTATTCTAGTTTTAGATACTGCTTTCGTTTGCCATCCCAAAAATCTAAGAGTAATAAAAAAATCTCTAATGATAGAACTTATGGCAAAAATAAAAATAAAAAGTGTGCATTTGTTTATATCAAATGAGGCAGCTAAAGAGACATTACATTGCTCAACACCTACCCACAAATCTCACTCTCATTCCTAAACAAAATACCAAAAATAAAAAACATTGGGTAGGAATGAAGGTAAACATAATTTTGATATATTTCACCATAACAGACATACAGCTACATCTAGCGGCAATAAAAAATACTAATTAAATGTTCTATCAAAAAAGTCAAATATGGTACAGCCATAGAAGTGAACTAAATCTAAATGGGGAATCAAATATGACAAACCCGAAGGGTAAGATAATGTTTGATGCTGATGCGTATATGACACGCCGGTACTGAATGGGTTAATGTAAAAATGCATGTAAATTGTTATTAGTAATTTTATGTTTTGTTAATATGAGTTATTTCTTCCAATCTTACAGAAATCTCTCATCTTTTATTGCTTTAGCTGACAAAAGAGATCTGTGGGTGGTCTGTGGCTACTCATTATTCCTCATTCTTAACAGTTAGGCTATGTTTTGGCAAGGATCAATTATTTTGTCTTGCATCACAGTCAGAATTAAGTAACTAGAAATTAGAATTCTGTTTAGTGTTTTAATGTTAGTAAAATTTTTTTGACTTTTGCTGATATGTTCATTTTTTATAATGGCACACATCATTTCGAAAGTTGCACAGACAAGACAAAATGTGTGTGTGTTATGAGCAATACAGAGAAAAAAAAAAAAAAGTATTAATTAATTAGGAATTTTTTTTTTTTTTTTTTTCTTGGTCAGAGTTAAAAACCCCAAAACCAAACTGTTTTATTTACAGTGGACATGCTTGTCATTATACCATATTTCATCCATACACAGAAAAAGAGATAAAATAAACCGTGTGCATCTGGACATACCTATGCTAAAAATAAATATATATATGTAAAATATAAAAAATAGGACGTCTTTGCTCTATGAACCAGCAACCTTTAATTAACTTTTTGCAATTGAGGATCTTCCCTCTAGACCAGTACTTTTGAGAACATTTCAGCCTATTATGTAACCGCTTCTATAAATAGAGAACTTGTGCCATTTTGCGTCAGAGAGATCGCTTTCACCCTCTGCTAGTAAGATCTGTGCTACTGCCCTTTTAGATGTAAAATATAAAAAATAGGACGGCTTTGCTCTATGTGAACCAGCAAGCTTTAATTAACTTCTAGTCTAATTAACTAACTAACTAGGTCTAGGGGGAAGATCCTAAACTGCAGTTTAGGATCTTCCCCCTAGACCAGTACTTTCAAGAACATTCCAGCCTGCTACATAACTGCTTCTATAAATAGAGAACTTGCGCCATTTTGCATCAGAGAGATCGCTTTAACCCTCTGTTACTAAGATTTGTGCTACTGCTGGGGTTGCCACCTCTTGGCTGTCAAAATCCGTGAGAGGAAAAAAAATATCAGTTTTCATAACTTTTTACTTTATTTTGAACTTATATTTTGCATTTGATCGTACGGATTTCAAAATATCTGGTCTGGAACTAACAATTAAAAAACTCTTTGCAGTCCATTTTAAAATTGAAGAATGTTAGGATTTCTGCCTTGACATGTTCTTCATTAAAGGTTTCTTTCTAGTCCATATATCGAATGATACTGAAACACGCTCGCAGGCAGCGTTTGATACAGGTATTAACAAAACGAATGAAACTACTTTCTTTAACATTTCTCCAACTCTATTTTCGACTGTTGAGAAAAATTTTCCCACCTCAGATCAACTCTTACATTTTATTTAACAATGCTGTCTTGAACCTTCCTCAAAATGCAGAAATCTTCGTAAGGTTTATTTTCATCAAAAGTGATCTTTAAATCAATGGCCAAGTCTCTCAAAGCATCCCACATAATCGCTTTTTTCATTAAAAATATGCTCAATTTATCAATGGCCAAGTCTCTCAAAGCATCCCACATAATCGTTTTTTTCATTGAAAGTAGCTCAATTTACTATACTCGAATTTCAAATCATACCGTTTTTTCAGGTAATCTAAACATCTCTCAAAGAAAATGTCTGCGTCTTTATAAACATAGCCTTGTCCGTTTAATTTAATTTGTTTAAAAAAATCTCTTACTGAACTACCAAAAATTGGTCATATTTTTTCTTTTTCTTATTTTTCAGCGGATTTGAAGTATAACATCGTGCAGTTCTGCCCAAGTAACAAAATCACTTTCGATGATTTTAATTTCATTATCGAAAATTTGCATAACGTTGTGCAAAAAGTAACAGTAACACAAAGGCAGTGAGTTTTCATCTTTAAATGCTTGCTAAATAATTGTATTACATTCTTCTTCTCCTTCTTCAATAAAATATGCCTGTAAAGCTGACCAGTTACAAAGCAAACACTCTATCGCTCTCAATAAAGATAGCCATCTGGTTTGACATATGGTGTAAAATATCGTGATTCTCAATATTTAAAAATGCGTGGAAAGCTTTCAGAGTCTCTGTTCGTTTAGCATATGCTGAAAATTCACTATAAACTTTCAAGACTAAGGCTTCAACGTCGAATTTTATGCCTTTTAATGCAAATTTTGTGCAGTTCTGTAATATGTGGCATTTACGTTGCTTTTAAATGTTTTCATGTGTCAAAGTTTTGATACACAGAATTATTTATGCCATAATTGACAGACGCATTATCAACATCAAACGAAGTTACTTGTTATATCTAAATTATTTCGACGAGAACTCAACAAATCTTGTTTTTAATCTCGCCACTTTTTTCTTGGGATCACGTAAATCAAGCAGTCCGTGTATTATCCCACTTTCCTTATGAAAATTGCACGACACTGGAACATTTTAGTGTCTTTATTCCGCATCTTGCACTGAAAAAACGCGCTTTTAATCTCATTTAAAAGTTTTCTTGAGCTGCAGGAGCAAGCACACTCTCACAAATCTTGTACTTTTGTTCTACCGCAAGAAATCTTTTTTGCCAAAGAAGAATCTGGAAAGAGTGCTATAACAATTTGTTTGTGCAATATTAAAACTATGATGGTGCTTAATCCCACGATAGACTGAAGTAATTCAAATTGCTTATATATTGTATTCTTCTTTTGAAGATTTCCTCACGAAAAATTTTGAAACCAATTGCGAAGAATCCCTATTCAATATTAACGATTAGTGTTTCTTGCTTTGGGAATGTACAGTTAGTTATAGCTCTAACACCCTCATGCTTAATATTAATTGTTTTACGACATAATTTACATTCTCCATTATTGTCTTTTTCATAGCCATTAGTTAGCACATTCTTGAAACATTCAAATACTTTGTTTTTTTTTTTTTTACAAATCGTTTTTGTCACTAACTAGCTACTGCATACTAATGAAGATGGATTGAAAATGAGAGGGTGGAGGACTCGCACGCCTCTCGAACGCGCCCCTCACGAAACCCCCCTCGAAGACTTAGAACGCCCCCTCGAAGACATAGAACGCCCCCTCGAAGACTTAGATCGCCCCCTCGAAGACGTAGAACGCCCCGCTCGAAGACTTAGAACGCCCCCTCGAAGACTTTGATCGCCCCCTCGAAGAATTAGAATGCCCCCTCGAAGACTTAGAATCCCTTCGAAGACTTACAATGTCCCCTCCCCCTCCAAGACTTAGAACGCCCCCTCCGAAGACTTAGAACGCCCCCCGAAGTCTTAGAACGCCACCCTCCAAGACTTAGAACGACCCTCTCGAAGACTTAGATCGCCCCCTCGAAGACTTAGAACGCCCCGCTCGAAGACTTAGAACGCCCCCTCGAAGACTTGGAACGCCCCCTTCGAAGACTTAGAACGCCCCTCGAAGACTTAGAACGCCCCTCGAAGACTTAGAACCGCCCCTCGAAGACTTAGAACGCCCCTTCGAAGACTTAGAACGCCCCCTCGAAGACTTAGAACCCCCCTCGAAGACTTAGAACGCCCCCTCGAAGACTTAGAACGCCCCCTCGAACATTTAGAATGCCCCCTCGAAGACTTCGAATTCCCTTCTCGAAGACTTAGAACGCCCTC